AGGACTGCTTGCAGTCTGCAGCTGACAGATCTGAAGACAAGTCTCATAGCCATTTCAGCGTCCACAGGAAGAAACAAAGGCAGCAGGCCTGTCACTGAGGCATAAATGGATGTGACTCTACCTCAGTTCCTTGGTGGGTGATTCTGGTAGCAGGATCAAGGCCGAACATACCTGCAACTGAGTCCTCAGGATAACAGGGTCATTTCCAGGTCTGGAAAGGGGACCATAGCCTGTGAGCCTTCTACATGGGAACAGTTCTACCCTCTAGAATTGCCTTCCTAGGTCTTGAGCTCCAGTAGGCTTTCACAAACTCCTATCTGAATTCCAGAGCTCCCTTAAAGGCAATTTTGCCTTTGTTGCTTGAGAGGATATAAGCAGGGGATCTCCTATTTTACCATCTTGCTGATGTCACTGCCTCCCTGTCTCAAAACACTTCCAGTTTTTCCATTGAACAATATCCATTATCATTCATCTAATTCATAACTCCATTAATCAATATTTATTGAGTACATACCATAATAAAGGCATTGTTAAGAATTAGAGGAATTATAAAGCATGGTTTCTGTCCGTAAGGATCTTATGATCTAAGGAGACAAACATAAACAAGATATCAAGATATCAACATAATAATTTAGTACATGCAATCAGGCAGTGCTTTCTTTAGAAGTGAAATGAGCTCATCTTGAGACAGGTGAAATTTTTGAAATATCCTGATTCAGATTAGTTTCTTACTAAGGCTAATTTTAATAGTATCAAATCTTGCCTTGACTTAAAAAAAAAAAAAGGCTGGAAATACAGGTCCCAATTTCAAGAAGAGTAAGTACAATTCTCTTATCACTAATTCATTACAGCTTGCTCTTATATCTCATTACGAAAAACGAAAATAATAGAACAGTAGCAAGCATTACTTTTTGAGATACCAGAGTTTCAGAAAACAAGTACTGTATGTGCTAAGGATTGTTAGCAAGAAATTCCCTTTCAAGGTTCTGTTCTTGTCATTTTATTTACACATTAAGGGAAAAAAACCTATTCAGAGAAATAATTGTTCCCTTCCTTTTTTTCCCAGCTCCATCAATTCACTTATATTCCTCTCTAAGTTGTCCCTTCCTAAGTATAAGCACTCCCTAGAAATTATTGGGTGAACTCCTTAATTATAAATCTCATCTACTTATCACTAACATCCTCTTCAATGGTCAATATTCACATCAGTAGTATTTTGTTAAATAATCCATGGAATAATGGCAAGCAACTCTTTTAAAAATCAGAAATAAACACTAAATTTTTAAAACAATGAGAAAAATATCTGCAAAAGTATGTTAATATACTTTTTAATAAGGGTTTTGAAATTGTTATTATAAAATGATAAATTTATAAATTTAAGCTGAATATTTTAAAAAGTATTTTTATATGAAAAACAAAATCTATATTTTTGAACAGAAATATGGAAATATGTACAATAAAAATTCTGAGATATTTACTCTACGTTGCTTAATAGACACTATTACCCTTTTCAGTATAATATTTAGAAAATGTTTCTAACCAAGCTGTTCAAGTGTAATAGGTCCAGAAACTCTTGGGAATGTAATTATCTTATTTGTTTTGAATCACACTGTCTGCAGTTAGTCTAGTGTTTTAATAAGGTCTACAAGGATTAGAACTAGTCAACATATGAATTATGAAACCCCTAGTCAACCTGAAGAACATGAAAAAAAAAATCAACTCATGGGAAAAACATGGTACTCTTGCAAGACTGTGGAATATCATTCAGAACCATAGCAAGGGTAAGCTTGAAAATCAGGAAATATAGGTTTCAATTAAGAAAGGCTTTGTTACCTAGATGGATAAAATAGCTTATGCTTCTCAAGATGTGAACTTTCTTTTTTAAAAAATAATCTGTAGGTTTCCATCAACATGTGAACTTTCCCAAAAGAAACAGGAAGCTATTCATCTACAATAGCTAACAAAGTACAGAAAATTGTTATTGTAATACTTTAACAAACATCACAGGTGGTTTTAAAATGTGATCTTTAAGCTTAGCTATTTTGGAAAGAAAATATTTTTTTTCTAAGACATGTACCATTATATATTTGATGCAAATGTTTTTCCATAATTTGTCATTGAGTTTATTAGCTTTTCAGCATTTAATATGGCAAATTGTGGTTGACGTCTACTTTTTTCTAGTCAGACTCTGAAGATATTATTTAAAAGGAAATCTTAATAGAAATCTACAGCCCCCAAATAAATGGAGGTTCAAAATGAAAAGATAAAGACAAGTCAAAGAAAGAATATTTAGATGGAGCAAACAAATTCAAATTTAATAGGGCAGTTTTTTCATAAAAATTAGCCCTCCAGTTGATTTAGAGAGAGTTTACTGATATAAGTAAGCTGTCTCCCTGTGTATCCATCTATCAAGAAATCCACTTATAAAAAGAGGTCCACAGGGTGATTTCATGGGGACTAGATAAAGAAGCACTGTCATGTAGTTTAAATATTTTTCCAACATTTACTTCAAGGAAAGAGTCCCAATTATCTGCCAGTTATGAAGTACCAATAGGTGAATCCCTTTTGATAAACTGATTAAAATGTCTCTTAATTCGATCCAACTACTTTTCTTACAGCTCTTACATCTCAGTCTTCCCATATTAGTTTCTCTTTTGAGATGAGAATGTGATGATCAGTTCATGAACATCATCTGTTTGGCAGCTGTTTCTGATTTTTGAATAGTTTTGTTAGTTACAAACCAGTATCGTGTTAGTTAGGTCCCTTGTGGCTCCTCCAGGGGCTGTATCATTCCTGATAAGATTAAGACTCTCCTAGATGGAGACCAGGCTCCCTAACAAGGGTAGCTATAGCTTGGCTGGCACATGCAGGGATCAAAGTGAAAGTATTTATCATAAAGCCAGTGTTGGAAATTAAAATCTCTACTATACTTGTGAGTAGATTCAGAGTCCAATTCCCATTAGAACTGACCAAAGCTATTTCTAGTACCATACTAATTTATAAAAACATGGCAGTCAAGGTAATTATTCTACAAAGTATTCTAAAGTCCCCAAATACAAACTGCCTGAACTTAAATATCGTTCAACTGATTAAGCAGAAAGGTTCTTGAAGGTCTAACCCTTTAAGCATTAATAGCCTTTATGTTATTATTTAGACTCAGGTTTAAGAGTTCAAAGAATATTTTAAAAGAGGGGTTGACAGTTTACTGTATCATTTTCTCACTTAGGTTTTTTGGGATTTGTAATTTATTTTAGATTCGATCAGATTGTCTTAATAAGTCTCCTCATTGGATGGAAAACTATGTGTCTATACTCAGTTCTAATAGTCAAAATGAGAACTTCAGAGACTTGAAGTATAAATATATATCAAGTTCATTATATAAACAAAAGGTTTATTTTAATGTAGGAGATATAATAAGTAAAAAGTAATAATTGAATATTTACTAGACTAAATGGCAATATAGGGAAGAATGTTTTCTAGTTACCAAAAATTAAACAATGCACCAAGTACATTTTAGATTTATTATTTTTAATGAACTATGTTTAACATTTTACAAATCTTCAGGTTGTTACAGTTTTTAGCAGTAAATATAGTAGTAACAGCAATAAATACACCGAAATATGAGATTTCTCTGAAAGAATACAAAAAATAGTAACACCTGGAAATGAGAAGGCAAAATGTCAATTCTAGATCTGAAATAGAAATTAATACAGCTGAATTTCTTTACAAAGCTGGTACATGGGGAAATGAGAAACTCATGCCTTATAAATAAATGTGTGAATTTGAGTTTCACCTTTCTGAGAAGTTTTGAGGGACATCATTTGACCCACAGATCTCTAAAACCCTATAAATATTGATACCAGAGGATTCAAACACATAGTGATCTGAAAATGATGGCCAAAGCAAAGAAGTGCTTTCATTCCTCAACATTTGTGATCTTTGTGGTATACTATGTATTATAAAAGGGCATAACCCCTATACAACTGCATAAAGTCATAAAAATTGATTTATAAAGTCTCAAGATCATATGCATTAAAAATACATATAGCTGTGCTTTAGTAAATGAATCCATCAGTCGAGAGAGAGTTTTGCCTTTAATATATATCCAAAGTATATACAAAGGATCCACAAATGTTTACAATTTGTGACTAAAATCATCTGGTTTATATTTGAAAAAATCTTGGTTTTCAATTTAAAAATTTAAGAAAGTTGTGAACATTGTTTATTATTACTTGGGTTAAGAAAAAGTAGATGGCTTCAGCTTTTTAACAGGAAATTTGTGAACTACTCACAAATGAGAAGTCACACTCTTTTGATCATTAGAAAAGATAAATTGCCTATAATTCCCAATTGAGAACAGCATGTGCAGTGTAAAAAATAATAAGGTTTTATTTTGAAACCAAACAAGTAGTTTTAGAAAAGCCCTTGGAATACATCATCTCATTTCCCTTACACAAAAATGAATAAAATAAGGTATACTTTTATACCAATATGTGTATTTCATTACCAAGCTGAGATGAAAGATTTTTATTTAAAGGTGGGAAAAATAAACACTGAAAATATAACATTTTGCTATATAGTTTTCTAACTTCATTCCAACATAAACAATTTATCAATATATACTGTATTCAAAAAAGGATAAACAAGAGAGAAATACTACTTACATGCAAAATTTATTGTTCCAACATGAAACACTAAGTCTATATTTAATAAAACTGCACATCTGTTTGATTTGGCTAACTGAAAGAAAATGCACACTTAAAAAGATGTTATTATATCCTTCTAATAATGCAAGTCTATATCAAAGGCACTTCAGCAGAGCACTAACTTTAACCTTTTCCAAATCATTTTTATACATGTTGCTTTTGATGTCTTTCTGTGTAAGGCCAATAAGAAGCCTTCTCTAATTGTTATGAGCCTTATCACTTAAAAAAAAAAAAAAAAAAAAAAAAAAAAAAAGAAAAAATATTAAAAAAAAAAAAAAAAAAAAAAAAAAAAGGAAGCCTAGGTATTACCCATGACATTTATTTCTTCTATGGATTGGGGTAATATATGGCAAATATTTCCTAGGGTTTTTATGTTCTTTGGGTTTATACAGAATGGTAGGATGTTGACAGGTTAGATGTTGCAGGAAAGAAATGGCTGACATCTAAGATCTTGGGGACAAAAGCTGTTGTCTGTCATTGCACATCTAGCCACAATTTTACTGAAGCTAATGTGGCTATTTTGGTTCACTGAATTTGTTTACATGGTTTGGGTCTCCATGTTGCTCCCATATTGAAGAGTAGGGAATGAAAAACGAAGCAATTTAGAATTCCCCACCCACCTCAAGGGAAAGGTGCTTCAGACATTTGCCTTCAGGGAAATTTTAAGAAAAATGGGATCAGGTGATTTTAATGAATAATGAGCTTTTATTTTTAGGACGTATAAATGATAATTCAGAGTTAAAAACATAACTAAAAACAGTTGTTCCCATTGAACACTTGCTATGATGAAAATAATATAGATACATTACTTACAAACTGAAAAAAGAAGTTGCAAAGGCTATGAGTGACTTAAGGAAAAACTTACTTTTGCCCTGAAATTGAAACTGTTTTCCTCAAACATCTTTTATGCAAATCAGTATCTGGATATACAGCTACTATCCTGAAGGTATTTTTGAGCTTCAGGAAAATGGCATTTCTTTTTCTTGTCATCAATAGTTAAGAAAAAAAAATCAATGTTTATTTTATCTCCACATATTTAATTAAATTTTAGTGTTCAAAAAACTTTCACATTGTTGATTTTTTTTTTTATTTCATAGCCTTTAAGTGACTGAGTTCTGGTTTTTAGAATAGAAGAAATATATTACATCCAATCTAGCCTGAAAGTACCCGTGAGCCTTAAACCAAAGTCACAGATTGTTTTTTCAGATTTGTAAAAAGTTTTCCTTGACAGCTAAACTTGCTTCATTGTTGAGGGGAAGAAAAAATGATTTTTAAAAACTCAGTATTAGAGCATGACTTTCTCAAATTTCTAAATTAAAAATTAACACCTCATTTTGTGAATTTATATCCAAAAACAACCAAAGAGCTGGTGTGTCCCTCTAATGATCAAGTAGCTTATTTCCCATCTTACATGAACGTGTGATTTATATTTGGGATGATACAATACACATGCTGTTTGTTTAAAGATCAAACAACATTTTCTTTGAGATAACTCCAGAGTAACATCAGTCGAGGTCATTTATCAAGTTATTTTTGAGTATAGGCAGAAGAGGACATAATAGTAACATTTAAAAGAATATGATGCCTGAAGACAGTTTTGTTTTAAATGTTCCATGGTGTAGTAACCATGGTAGAGGCAACATTTTTGGAGGCAACTTGAGGAGTATATGTTTCACTGTTATTCTTAAGAGAGTCAAGGCCAAACTGGCTGGCTGAGCAACATTTTCAGATACCTAATATGTTGATGCTATTTTACATTTTGAAAACTTGGATATAATAAGTTCATCAAAAAAATAAATGAATAGGCCAGAAAAAGCATTCCTTGGTATCTTTCTCTCCGATTACTAAATTACCATTTACTCTGCTTGAGACATGTCCAAGAACCATGAGATTTCTCAGTCTCAACTTCCTATGTTCATACTGCAATTTACAACAAGAAGCAAGAATAAACACCACAACACAGCAGACACACAACCCCTGCTGGAGTTAATTTATGGGAATCAGTGGGCGTTCCTCTCGCTTCTTCCAGATATTAGTCTTGCTATCTCTTTTGGCTAGTGGTGGTCTGCCCCTTCTTTTAGTGGGGGATGTATTAGCTTCAAAATCTTCAACGGTGCTTTTCCTTCCTGGGGACTCTTCCCCAGGGTGCTCCATGATCACTCCACTCCCTCCATCTAGGATGTGCCTTAAAGCTGGGTCCTCAGGGGAACAGACTGTGGTTCCACTCTCACTGCTGCTTAGGTCTAAATCTTCTAAGTAAAGGATCTTGGGCTGATGCATGCTTTTGATAAATGTTTTCTCCCTCTCAAGCTTTCTACTTGAGTGAAGCTCATTCATGTCCACACCAGAGTCCAGGCTGGTGTCATTGCTCTGGGTTCTCTTGCCCTTTTTCAGGTCTATAAAGGAGTGCCTCACTTGTGCAACCGGTTTTCCATCAAGAGACACAAACCAGGCTCTGGGATGGGGGGAGGGCTTTCCTTTGGACAGCTCCAGAAGGGTCTGTTCTGAAATTCCTTGAAGTTCTGATGAAAATGGAGTCATTACAACAGCCTCATTTAGTGTTCCAGGAACAGAGACAGATTCCAGTAAGCTGCTTGAATATCGGCTCCAATCTGAAGCCTGGGATGGCAAGCTCTGTTGACCTTCAAGTATGATATCCTCTTCCCTGGCATCTGGGGGCTGTGCATGAGAATGAATTGGCATTTTGGGCAATGTCTGTGTAAAGTTCTCTCGATTTACTGGTTCCATCAATTGGCCATAGACTAACTGTCCCTTTCTTGGCAAAGTAGCTGACTTAGCAGCATGTAACTGTTCTGGAGTGGAGAAAAGGTCAGATGTTTGAAGGATGGCAATGGGCTGGCTGTAAATATGCATAAGCTGTTCAGGAATATGGGAACGCCCATACGCTTCGTCATTACCTGTGAGATATCTCTTTTCATCTTGAGCGTCACCTAGAGATGAAGATAGATTGTTGTTAATATGTTTAGGTTGTTTGGACCCTACATTGGGCTCCAAAGACTGTGTTGGATTTCTTGAGTAATTATTTTGATTGACTGATAGAAATGAAACATCTTCATTGTAGATTTTAAAATCGTCTCGAGTTTTTACCATGGAAACTCTTTCTTCTGTTTCTGCCTTTGATGGTTCCTTTTTCTGAGGACTATATGAGGAGTTTTGGGCATTGAATAACTGTGCCTTGTCCTCAGCTTTTAATGCAACTTTAACTGTACTGATATGATTTATGTGTGTTGTTGAAGTGGTCTGGTCCCTCTTGAGGACCTCAAGTTTAGTGATATTTCTTTCTCTTTTCTGTGACGTACCACATTTATCCCTTGAGTAGAAAAGAAGGCAAAAAATATTTCAAAGTTATGACACAAATGGTTCATAAAAAAATCACTCTACAATTTTCACATCATATATTCAATGCTACTGTTCAAGATATATAGATTAAAAATAATGGACATAAGACGAAACAATTTATTTCTACAACTAAACTTTTCAATTTGCAGAATATACTGAAATGATAGAATAACTTGACAGTTTTCTGTTATAATTGTTCTTACCTGCAATAACAAAGTAGTACAGCAAAAAATCCAATGACAATGACTATTGTTCCTCCTAATATGGCTGTAAGAAACACTGTGTGGTAGGCAGTTATGTCCTTGGAATCTTCATTTATGCCTGAACCTACATGGTTCAATATAAACGAAGAGAACATGTTATTTTAGATCAAATTCTCAATGATGTCACATACTAGGTTAGGCAAATTGAATAAGGGTACACACTTCTATTTTTTTGCTCTCATTCTGTGACAGACTTCCCTGTGGGTGAAGTAAACTTTCCTTATCCTTTAGCTTAATTGACTGACTTGCTTTAACCAATGAAACATGAGCATCTTAAGTGAGGTGGCATGGTGTGGCTCTTCCTCTTGCTCATGCCTTCTATCTGTGAATAGCATATCCCAGAGAATTGCTATTCCTTCAACCTGGGGTCTAGAATGAGAATATTTCTTGAACTGAATGAAACCAAGTCCAATGGTACAGCAGATAACCTGAAACACTCATAAAATGTAAGTAGCAAATAAGTGTTTGACACTGTTAGCCACTGAGACAGCAGGGTTGCTCGTTACTGCAGCAATGGCTATTACAGTATATGCTGAGATCCTGCTATAGAAAGCTTAAAACATTTAACATTGGCTTCCAGGCTAGGCAGTGAGAAAACCGTTTCAAGAGGCAGTAAAACTGGTGACCCAACTAACAAAAATTTGGTAGAAATACTTTCTCCCAGTTTATTTAAACTAATTTGAGCTTTGTGCAAAGAGGTTTTGAGATAGAATGTTGATATTCAAATGCATTTATTTAATCTTTAAAAAATTTAAGACAAATTCACAAAAGTATTTACAAAGCAAGCAGGGATCTAAAGAAATAGAATCCAAAACTGCTAAGACGTGAAGGATTAAGAGTTGCAGCTCCTTCTACCTGGGCTCTAGAGTAAACTGAGCACAACTGACCGACTATCCTCCTGCTATGAGAACATACATGTATGAATATCATTATGATAAGTTTTACTGCAGTAAACGCTGACTGGGATGATTTCAACATAAAAATGAATGCTACTAGTAAAAACATACATATAGACCAATGAAACAGAATGGAGAACCCATAAATAAATCTATACATCTACAGCAAACTCATTTTCAACAAAGGTGCCAAGAGCGTATATTGGGGAAAGGACAGTCTCTTCAATACATTGTGCTGGCAAAAGTAGATATCCTTATGCAGAAGAATGAAACTAGACTCTTATCTCTCACCATACATGAAAATCATAAAGTTAAGATCTCAAACTATGAAATCACCAAAAGAAAACACTGAGGAAACTCTCCAGGATATTGGTCTGGACGAAGATTTATTGAGTAATGCCCTGCAAGCAGAGACAACCAAAGCAAAAATGGGATAACATCAAAGCTTCTGTAGAACAAAGAAAACAGTCAACAAAGTGAAGAGACAACCCACAGAACAGGAGAAAATAATAACCAGGATATATAAGGAACTCAAACAACTCAACAGGAAAAATTCTAATAATCCCATTAAAAAATGAGCAAAAGACCTAAATAGAAGATTTCTCAAAAAAGACAAATGGCAAACAGGTATATGAAAAGAGGCTCAACATCTTTGATCCGAGAACTGCAAATCAAAACTACAGTAAGATATCATCTTATCCCAGTTCACATCGCTTGTATCCAAAAGACAGGCAATAATGAATGCTTGCTAGTAAGGATGTGGAGAAAAGGGAAACCTCATATACTGTTGGTGAGAAAGTAAATTAATACAGCCACTATGGAGAACATTTAGAATTTCCCTACAAAAAATAGAGCTACCATTATGACCCATCAACCCCACTGCTTGATATATTGACACATACCCCAAAGAAAGGAACTCAGTATATAAAAGAGATATCTGCACTCCCATGTTTACTGCAGCACTGTTCACGATAACCAAGATTTCGAAGCAAGCTAAGAGTCCATCAACAGATGAATGGATAAAAGAAACATGGTGTGTGTGTGTGTGTGTGTGTGTGTGTGTGTGTGTGTGTGTATGCACACACACGTATATATATACACAACGGAGTGCTATTTAACCATAAAAAAAGACGTGATCCTGTCATCTGCAACAACATGAATGGGACTTGAGGACATTGTGTTAAGTGAAATAAGCCCGGCACAGAAAAACAGACTTAGCATGTTCTCGTTCATTTGTGGGAGCTAAACATTAAAACAACTGGCAGAGGCTGGGAAGGGTAATGTGGGGTTGGAGGGGAGTAGGGATGGTTAATCAAAAAATTAGCTAATTATAATGAATAAAATCTAGTATTTGATAGGACAGAGTGAATATAGGCAATAATTGTACATTTAAAAAGTATAATTAAAAAGTTTATTACACAAATGATAAATGTTTGAGGTAATAAAGACCCCATTTATACTGATGTGATTATTATGCATTGTATGCTTGTATCAAAATATCTCATGTACCCTAGAAACATAAACACCCATTATGTACCCATAAAGATAAAAAATTTAAAAACTTGATAAAAATGAAGGCTATTGGGCAGCCAATCTTTAGGTAATCTGTTTCAATATCACAAAGACTTCATTGTGCTTAAAAAAGTATATAATAAGTCTACTTAAGAGTATCAATTAGATTCTAATATGTATTCAGGGAGATAGAGTAAGAAGGAGATGGGGCAACTGGTTTCTGGTCATCTATCTCTACCATGAAAAAACATCCAGAATGAGGCTCCCACCTGCATTGAGGACACTGAAGGACCACTACTTCTTTACTTTTATCAAATTAGTGCAAAATTTGAAAGATAAAGTAATAATAAAATATTAGGAAAAACAGTATTACAGTTATGTATGTAGATTTTAGAGTCAAAGTGTCTGAATTGTAATTCTCACCTCACCATGTATTTTTATATACTTGGGAAGGTTTCATTTCTTTGTATCTAGTTCTCTCATCTACAGAGCAGTAACAGTTATATCTAATCCATGTGAGCTGTTGAGGCTTAAGTCAGTAAATACTTGTGAAATACTTAGACTAGTGCTTGGCTCATGATAAGCACTCAGTGTTAGCTATACCACACTACTGTTGGATACAGCTTTAACATTGTATTAAAACAGGCACTCTAATGTTGGCCATGATTTCACAGATGGTGACTGATCTATCTTATTTAATAGGCAAATAAGTACAGCACTATGCAATATGAAATCTTGTCAAAAAAAATGAGAGTAACTTTCTGTTCTCTGTAGATTTGTACGGAGGATTGCTTTGATTATAACTGAGCATAAATGAATATGTTTCCAGAATGGAGTAATGCTAACAATTTTTACTCCACAGGAATCCAAAAAAACTCACATTTGGAAACAAGAGGTTGACATATTGTGTTTGCCCCAAATCCTATATGTATGGCAGTAGCAAGAGAACGCATCTGTCCATGTGCATGTGTGTTTGTGCACATGCCTAGGAGTTAGAAAGGTAGAAAATCAGTCTTTTCATTCAAATATATTTAAAAATGCACACTCAGTTCCACATGAAGTTTAAGGTGTTTTTTTCCAGTCTGTGAAGAGGGTCATAGGTAGCTTGATGGGGATAGCATTGAATCTATAAATTACTTTGGGCAGTATGGCCATTTTCACGGTATTGATTCTTCCTAACCATGAGCATGGAATGTTTTTCTATCTGTGTCCTCTCTTATTTCCTTGAGCAGTGGGTTGTAGTTCTCCTTGAAGAGGTCCTTCACATCCCTTATTAGTTGTATTCCATTCTCTTTGTAGCAATTGTGAATGGGAGCTCACTCATGATTTGGCTCTCTGTTTATCTGTTACTGGGGTATAGGAATGCTTGTGATTTTTGCATCCTGAGACTTTGCTGGAGTTGCTTATCAGCTTAAGGAGATTTTGGACTGAGATGATGCAGTTTTCTAAATATACAATCATGTCATCTGCAAACAGGGATGATTTGATATCCTTTCTTCCTATTCAGATACCTTTCTTTCTTTCTCTTGCCTGACTGCCCTGGCCAGAACTTCCAATACTGTGTTGAATAGGAGTGGTGAGACAGGGCATCCTTGCCTTGTGCCAGTTTTCAAAGGGAATGCTTCCAGCTTTTGCCCATTCAGTATGATATTGGCTGTGCATTTGTCATAAATAACTCCTACTATTTTGAGATACAACCCATCGTTACCCAAAAAGAGCCCACATAGCCAAGACAATCCTAAGCAAAAAAAAAAACCAAGCTGGAGGGATCACGCTACCTGACTTCAAACTATATTACAAGGCCACTGTAATCAAAACAGCAAGGTACTGGTACCAAAACAGAGATATAGACTAATGGAACAGAACAGACACCTCAGAAGTAATGCCACTCAACTACAGCCATCTGATCTTTGACAAACCTGACAAAAACAAGCAACTGGGGAAAGAATTCCCTATTTAATAAATGGTGTTGGGAAAACTGGCTAGCCATATGCAGAAAGCTGAAACTGGATACCTTCCTTATACCTTATACAAAAATTAACTCCAGATGGATTATAGATTTAAATATAAGACCTAACACCGTAAAAACCCTACAAGAATACCTAGGCAATACCATCCAGGACATAGGCCTAGGCAAGGACTTCATGACTAAAACACCAAAAGCAATGGCAACAAAAGCCAAAAGAGACAAGTGGGACCTAATTAAACTTAAGAGCTTCTGCACAGCAAAAGAAACTATCAATAGAGTGAACCAGCAACCAACAGAATGGGAAAAAAATTTTGCAATCTGCCCATCTGACAAAAGGCTAATATCCAGAATCTACAAAGAACTTAAACAAATTTATAAGAAAAAAACCCCATCAAAAAGTGGGCAAAGGATATGAACAGACACTTTTCAAAAGAAGACATCGATGAGACCAAGAAACATATGAAAAAATGCTCATCATCACTGGTTATTAGAGAAATGCAAATCCAAAGCACATTGAGTTACCACCACATGCCAGTTAGAATGGCGATCATTAAAAAATCAGGAGACAACAGATGGTGGAATGTGGAGAAACAGGAATGCTTTTACACTGTTGGTGAGAGTGTAAATCAGTTCAACCATTGTGGAAGACAGTGTGGCAACTCAAGGATCTAGAAATAAAAATTTCATTTGATCCAGCAATCCCATTATTGGATATATACCCAACGGATTATAAATCATTCTATTAGAAAGATGCATGCACAGGTATGTTTACTGTGTCACTGTTCACAATAGCAAAGACTTGGATATGGTAGACTGGATAAAGAAAATGTGGTGCAGATACACCATGGAATACTATGCAGCCATTAAACAAGATGAGTTCATGTCCTTTGCAGGGACATGGATGAAACTGGAAACCATTATTCTCAGCAAACTGACACAAGAACAGAAAACCAAACATCACATGTGCACACTGATAAGTGAGTATTGAACAATGAGAACACAGGGAGGGGAGCATCACACAGGGGGTGGGGGGTTTGGGGAGGGATAGCATCGGGAGAAATACCTAACGTAGATGACAGGGCAATGGATTCAGCAAACCACCACCATGGCACATATATATCTATGTAACAAACCTGCACGGTCTGTACATGTACCGCAGAACTTCAAGTATAATAAATAAATAAATAAATGCAAATTAAAAACATTTGTTTATTACACTCTGTACTCAACCACCTACTTTCCTGCAGCAATCTGAAAAATTAATCTCTTGTACTTAATATTTTTTCCAAGGAATTCTAAAATTCTATTTAAACTTTAAAAAACAAATTAACCACATTATAACTAAAGCAGCTCCAGCATACCAAACACTAATAGCTGATCACAGGAACAATTTTGATTTTATAGTAATAATCCTAAAATGTTTAGGGACATCAGGGATTGTGTCATAATCAACATATATTTATTTAGTCTCTGCCCCTAGTTCTGGGCACAGAGCTCTTAAAACCCTTGGAATTTCCTGAGCAACAGGGGTGTTGGAAGTGTCTTTTGTTCTATTATGTAGTCTTTGACCCTGTTTCCTAACAGAGAGCTTCTAAATTCCTTGGAATTTTCTGGGTTTTGGGAGTATCTTTTGTTCTAACTTGACTCTGGGCAGGCTCATGCTGGGGGATTGGTGACAAACAAGCCAGGATTATTAGAAGCCTTAGCTTTCAGCACCACTCCGCATTCTCCAGAAAGGAGAATGGTGGAGATTAAGTTAATAATTGGTCATGCCTGCAAGAGAAGGCCTTCATCAACATCCCTCAAGTATAGGGGTTGTAAAGCCTTCAGATTGGAGAACACATCCACGGGCCAGAAAGGTGGTACACCCCAATTCTATGCGGAAAAAGTTCCTGTACACAGGACCTTTATAGACTTTGCCCTACGTACCTTTTCACTGGGCTCTTTATCTGTATCCTTTATCAATTCCTTTATTACAAGCTGGTAAATGTAAGTACGTGTTCCCTGATTTCTGTGAGCCATCATAGTAAATTATCAAACCTGAGGAAAAAATTGTGCAAATCCCCGATTTGAAGCCAAGTTAGATGGTATGGGTAAACTGAGAATCTACTGCTTACAATGGGCAGCTGAAATGGGGGCAATCCTGTGGGATTAAACTCTCAACCTAAGGGGTCTGATGCTAACTGTAGGTAGATAATGTCAGAATTGAATTGAATTATAGGATAAAATCAACATCCACTGTAAACTGGAGAATTGGTTGGTGTGTGGAAAGGCCAGGTGAAGACATCTTGAGAAAGTGGCCATCTAGATAGAAACCTGCAAGAAGCCGCACCAACCCTAACAGCACCTTGACCTTGGGCTGCTAGCCTCCAGACTGTGAGAACATAAAATTTCTGTTAATGGCCAGTTATTACTCTGCAGTTATTTTGTTATGGCAGCCTGAGCAGACTAATATAATATCTGATTCTCTCAATTTAGAAATAAGAAAACTCACACTCAGATGGGTAAGTACCTATTTCAAGCTCACTCAGTTAATTGTGGGCAGAGTAAGGGCTATCATCAAGTTATTCATATTCCAGTGTAGTATCACTAGAAAGTCTCTAGTTCAAACTAAACAAGAATCTCATACTTTTATTTTAGTACTCATCCAAACAACATCTTTTCCAACAAATAATCTGGAACAGAACTTCCATATGGTTTTAGAAAATAATTTTGGCTTTTGTAATTCATAAAGCTATCTTATGTAATTCAGTCATTTTAGATATATTTTTAGTGTAAGTATATTTCTCTATAAAACTCAAATACTCCTTAGGTTATTTTTATTAAAAAATGAAATAACTTGAGTTGAAGTATGAAATTAAATATTGTTTTTCATCAATATTTCACTATAGTTGCAAATACAGAATGGGATAAGGCCAGACAGCTGGCAAGACTGTATGATATTTTGCATCATGAAAAGCAAAAGTAACCACCCTCTGGTTTCTGAATAAACAATCCTGTAAGCACTAAGTTCAAATAGAAATAAATGGAATATTATGCAGCCATCAAAAACGATGAGTTTGGGTCCTTTGTAGGGACATGGATGAACCTGGAAACCATCATTCTCAGCAAACTGACAGAAGAGCAGAAGATCAAACACCGCGTGTTCTCACTCATAGGCGGGTGTTGAACAATGAGAACACATGGACACAGGGAGGGAAGCACTACACACTGGGGTCAGTTGGGGGGAAATAGGGGAGGGACGGTGGGGGGTGGGGAGCTGGGGAGAGATAGCAAGGGGAGAAATGCCAGATGTAGGTGATGGGGAGGAAGGCAGCAAATCACACTGCCACGTGTGTACCTATGCAACAATTTTGCATGTTCTTCACATGTATCCCAAAACCTAAAATGCAATAAAATAAATAAATGGGGGGGAAAAAAAAGAACATTTCTCTTAATTATATATGGCTAATTAGTCTCAGCTTCTCAAGAGGCTGAGGTGGGAGGATCCAGAGTTTGAGCCCAGCCTGAGCAGGCAACACAGCAAGACTCAATCAAGAAAGAAAATTCAAACTTGCCAACACAGAATAAAATAAAAATCAAACTGGATTTTAAAAACTAGACAAAACAGCCTTCAAAATAATAGACAGTCATAATAATGTTAGATGACAGAATGCTACAGATAAACATATGTAAATTATCGCCCATGTTCTGGATCAGGGTAAGTACTAGGACAATTCTTAATCATTATGAAATACCCAGATAGCAACTACCCCTCAGCTGTGAGCCAAAACGCTTGATAAACCAAAAGAATTATCTGACACATGATTGAAGATTATGATGTACCTGCATTCAACTTTCACTTTAAAATCTCCACTAAAATAACACTAAATGTTTTGCTTTGTTTTTATTCTGTAAAAACACAAACCTAAAAGAACAAAGGAAAATAAGCTAACATAATTGACTTAGCAAAGCTGGTGGTAGCGAAAGCCAAGAAGCAATTTGATTTATGCCAACCCATATTCAAAGGCCCAGGAAGTGGTAGCAGACCAACAGTGCAACCATTCTAGACTACTGCAGGTTAGAGAATTTTTTTCCCCAACATTTAATGGCTAAAATATGCAATGTTTGAATATTCTGATGAATGTACACAACTTGAGATGGATGTAGGGTTTCCTGAGGTACCAATTATCTAGATATTTTGATAATATGTTAAATATAAAACAAAATGCTCGTTTCTCCTAGAATAGGAACAGATCTTCCCGAGTGAACAATTCATCATTTTGCTCCCCAGACTCCATCTTCCTTCAGTTCAAAATGTCAGACCAATTTCCTTTGATTACAGGGGTGTCCAATCTTTTGGCTGCCCGGGCCGCTCTGGAAGAAGAACTGTCTTGGGCCACACATAAGATACACTAATGATAGCTGATGAGCTTTAAAAAAAAAA